CCCAGATCCCGGGTTTCAAACCCTAACCCCGGGTCTCGAACCCGTACTCGTGCTATTACTATCGTAACTATAGGATTCACCACCTTTATATAGGAAGACAAAGAAACTATATAGCGAAAATGTAAGGTACGAAAAATTTGACAAAATTTTTCGTAACAGCAAAAACATTATAATCGAAAAAGTAAAAGCTCGATACTACTGGAACCAAATAGTGAACGATATATGAATCTTCATCAAGAGCTGCGACATATATCAATGATGGGATAAACCAACAAAAAGGAAAGCATTGCATCCAATTAAAGTAACTCAACCCTTTGATCGTATTGGCATTGACATTGTGGAGCCGTTACCTATAACTAAGAAAGAAAATTGATATTTAGTCATTACTGTAGAGTATTTGATGAAATGGCCCAAATTTAGAGCTCTGCCAAATTGTTTAGCTAAAAGCATTGCCGCATTCATGTTGAAGGAAATAATAAGCCACCATGGGTGCTAATATCAAATTCAGTCAGATCAAGGCTCTCATTTTGTTAATAAGGTGATAGACTTTGTGTATAAAAAAGCTCAACTCAAATATAAATTGTTTACCATATAGTATTTGCAAATTAATGGTTTGGTAGAAAGGTTTAATAGAACTCTATATGAAGTGTTAGCCAAATGCATTAGTCAGTTTTTTGGAGATTGGGACAATAATTTGTCGCCTGCACTGTTTTCTTGTAGAATCTTCAAGCACTATACTATGAAAAATAGTCCATTTTACTTGTTATATAGAAGGGAACCTACTTTGCCTATTGAGTTGATATTGAAGACGTATCCTGTTGATTATGTAGCTGAAGAACAATATGAAGCTTTAATTTTAACACAAACATTTGGAATCATTGATAGACTATTTAAAGCTAGAATCAATGCTAAAAAAAATATATGGAAGTCGCAAGAAAAACAAAAATAGCATCACGATTATCAATACCCACTCCAAACTTTTGAAGTTGATGACTTGGTACTATGATATAGAGCTAGACTAGCCAAACAATTGGGTAGTAAATTGCAAGAGAAATGGACAGAGTCATATTGAATCTATGAAAAATTTGGAAATAGAATCTATAAACTAGAAACTCTTAATAATAAAACTGAAGTAGTAGAACAAGTGATCCATAGCAATCAATTAAAGTGATACATCAAAAGAAAAAGCTGAATAATAATGGTTTAGTACAAATAAGTAGCATATAATATAATTAAGAAAACTTTAGATTGTATATGAATGCACATGATAGTTGTATGCGGGGTTAAGGGGCATATGACAAAGGTCTGATCCTTTGTTCTGAACATAAATGTAGTAGAGTAAAAAAAAAAAAAAAAAAAAATTGTTATTACTAGGATTTGAATGGGGCTCATCCTTAAAGGGAAAAAAATATTACATAAAGAAAGTTTTATACTTAAACTTTCTTTGTATAACCATTATACTATTAGATACTTTGCATATACTTTAAATATACTTTATGTAATATTTCTTAATAGTTTATGCATAGTTTATGACTGTAGAGTATATTTTAAATTAGACTTTAAGTAATATATAGCCTATTTAGAGTTTAATTGTAAATATATATAGAACACTATATATTTTAGTTAGAGATCTTTCTTGAGTTTATAATTAGAAGTTGAATTTGAGTATATTTGGAACATACTAAGTTAGGTAGTAAGAACAGAGATAGCAGTATTAACTGTGTTTAGGACACAATAAAGACAATTGTTTAATACTTTAAAGTGCTTGAGTTCATAAACAAGATAATCAGTTTTATTATTTTATGCTCATGTTTCTGAACTAAATTGGTACTAATAATAAAAGTCTCTCTTTTAAACATGACAGAGTTCTAATCAAATTATATAATTTTGATTAGATAGGTTAGTTAAAAATGTCAAAAAAGCAATTTTGCTTATATATAATTACATATATAAAATCTAACCTAACCCAAGATGACCCTAACTCTAAAGTTAATTTAATAAAATATGTATTATATAAAATGACTTTACATATCATATACACCAATCATAATGTAGTATATCATTTATAGTTATGTAAAATATGGCAGTCTTATATATGTTATTTCACGGATATACATATCTGTGAAATTATTATATATAAATGCACTTTTAAATATACTATCCCTTAAACTGTCCAGATAAGCAGACAAATTTGCCTGCTTAAATTTTATAAATTCACATCTGATCTATTTTTGTTAAAAATAAAAATATTGTATAATTTTTTTTAAATAAAACTATGATTATATATTATGGAAAAGACTAAAAAGTGCACTCTGCACTTTGTGCACCCCTTAGATTGACCAATAAAATTGCAAGATCAAGTATAATATATAGATTAATTTTGTGTAACAAAAACAATTATGCATATCAATTTTGTATAACAAAACCAAAAATTTTTTAAAAAACTATCATATCTCAAAATTTTGATTATAAAACCACTTTTGGGGCTTTAATAAAAAAAATTCCTTGTGAAATTTTATTATATATTATATCTAACCCTAACCTCTAAATACTGTCTTTACTTTAATATTAAAAAAAAATTGATTTTTGTTTTGATAAATTATTTGTTATACAAAATTGATGATTATTTAGATGCACAAAGTGCACTAGTGCACTGTTTAGATTTTTCTATATACTATTTAAAACTTATTTTTGTTTGTTTAATATTTATAAAAAATTTAGAATTGCATATAAATTTAAAAATTTTTTCTTTTTTTTTTAGTTTTACTTAATAAAAATTTAAGATTTAATCCCTATTACCTTAATACAAAGTTGTAGAAAATTTAAAATTAGATTATTATTATTTTTTTTTTTTTAATGTTAAGGTGACTACTTTGGGGTCTGGCATGTTTTATTGAACTTTGATTCGAATGTCAGAGCAACCACATGGGCTACCCCTGACTTTGTTACATTAACGAGGGTACAACTAGCCATATATACAACTTTTGGTTGTCTATTTAAGCAGTCTTGCATATATAACCTGTATGAACTACACTAGATGCTATATCTATAACCCAACTAAGGGAATTATCTATTTAAACTCTCTGATCAACTTAGCGCTATCAGATATCCTCCTTAAAGAGTGACTGCCAGGAAGGCCCCTTAGGACTTTAAAGCAGACACACACTTCCATATAGGGGGTCCTTTATCCTTGTAGTAAACCTACCAGAGTGGTCCATGTTCCACACATATATCATCTAAATTTTCGGTAACTTATGCCTAGGCTGCGGCCAAGTACTTGCAGCTTTTTACCTCCGCTACCATTACCTACTCTGTGCCCTTGCAAAGTTCACACAAACTCTAGTACACACTTTATGGACTATCAACAGTACTTCGATGCCAATTAACGGTGCCCCAAACTCCCAATCCAGATGGCCTGAGAGGGACCAGTGGGCGTCCCCTGGTATTCCGAATGAACCCTTTTTCCTCCAGCTGGTCCGGCGGCCTGGTTGGTGTAGTGCTTTTGCCAAACACTCGATCCTCGTTCAGTTTACTTGCTAGTGTCTGGTTCTCTAGATGATAATCCTTTACGTAGTACTGTCAAAGATCTGTGCTACCTTTTTACTTGGAACTTCCCAAGCGGGCTTCCGTATCTCCCGATCCCTTGAATTAATTTGGCTGCTTCACTCGTGTAATTTATATGTTACACTACATTTCACAACCTCCCAATGCTAGTTGGTGAGACCAAGGTTACAGGTGCTTACCCAATCGATATGTTATACAGTTTAACCGTAACGCATTTTCGCAAATTCGAATTTCATCGCTGATAGGATTCGAACTCTTGTCCTGCCGCTTGGGGGTGCGACAACTTATCAACTACACTAAGTCGCCACACCCTTATTAGATTATTTTTATTATTATTGCTTTTATAATTTATTAGGTAAAATTTTAACTTTATTTAGTAATAGCTAAAGAATTTCTTTTCAGAAATACAGTTTGACCTTGATATAGTTACTCTTAATATAGTCACAAATTCGATATAATCACAGATTTTTTTTACCAATTAAATTTATATGACTTTAACCTGCATATAGTCACAAAATTCTATAGTCACTATCACATAATTATTAAAATTGATCATATTAAAATTCCCTCAATGTAATTACAAAAAATATATATATGTATCAAATACCTTATAGGTTCACAAATAGCCTTTCTAATCATATATTATAAGTATGCACTTACATATTCTGTGACTATTCAACAAATTCAGATATTTTATGTTTTTAGTTAGGCATTTTTTTAGACCTCAGGTCTTTGTAATACAGACTGTTTTAGGCTTTCTCAAAATTTAGAACTAACAACTTAAGCTGGATTCGATAAAATTTTGAATTTGGCAATTAATTGATTATTTTAATGATCATGATAACATCTATCAAGTTTATGCAGTGTAAATTTACATGTTTAATACCTAATATAATTAAGGTAGAATTAATATGACTATAAATACAATTATGAGATCATTTAAAGTTGTTCAAACAAAACAAAGAAAGACGCAAAGACAAAAACACAAAAAAAATAAAAGCGGCCATCTAAACTGGTCTTGGTCTACTAAATAAAAGTATTGGCAGTGTTATTTTATTATATATAAACTACTTTTGCTATCCTTCATCTAATCCTAACTATAATATCAATCGATTTTAATTAAAAATTAGACAAATCATGATATACCTGACTCCAATTATGGAAGGTAGGTAGCAACTTAAAGAATTATACAAATATGAAAATAAAGAGATGCAAAAAAAATTATTTGTTAGAGTATAACCAGCTTAAAGCATAACTAAAATTAAATTCAAATGAATAAAAAATATTGCCAAGAAAAAATCAAACCTTGGACTTTTAAATTATAACATATCAAACTTATAATATTGATAGAATTTTTTTAGAAGCTAATCTGGTATAATATAAAGCCTCAGAGCCTGATTTTCTTCTAGATATACAAACATATTCTCACCACCTTCAATTAAGCCAAGCCAATAATGTCTTTATTAAATATAACCTATAAAATATAAAAATTTTAGAATAGCTTCAAAAATAAAGATCAAAGAAAAATAAATATAAAAATACTTACATTACATATACAAAGCCTCAATATTAAAATTGGTTAGTAATTAAATTAAATAGAGAGAAGTAGAATCTTAAAGCATATTATATAAAAAAAAAATTTTTTTAAAATAAAAAAAAAGTTTTACTATCGATTAAAAATAACCAGTAATAGCTACATTGTTTTTTAAAAGCCTATAAAGGCTGAATCTTGAAAGTTGTGTTTAATTTGTTTTATCGCTAAAATTCCTCATGCTTTCTAGTTTATCACAAAAAAAATATGTAGCCAACTTAATAATGCCCAATGCAAAGAAATTTGTGAATATACAAACAATAACCTATCAGTGAAACAACAAGATATCGCTGAAGAGTTTACACAAAGGTACTCTGAATTAAAACTTAACCGATCAACCATTTCTAAATTAATCAAAAATGCAATAAACTTTTGGGTTGGTCAAGTTTCAGTCACAGGATTGTTTCTTTCAGATGAATTAATCAAATTAAAGGGTCATGAATTTGGAAGACTTCTTGGCATTCGCGTAGAGGAGCTAAAATTTTTAAATGGATGGATTATTAATTATAAAAAAAGAAATTCTTTATACAAATATAAGCTTCACAGTAAAGCCACAAGTGCACCTTTAGAATCCCTAGCAGACAAGAGAATAAAGCTTCAACAACTTTTTTCTTAATACAAATTAGAAGACATATATAATGCTAATGAAACTAGATTGTTTTATCGAATGTTGCCGAATCAAATATTAGCAAAAAAAGCTGTCGCTAGGTCAAAAAAAGTAAGAAGCCTTTTTTTTTTAATATATAGTAAATTAGTAATAGAAAAATTCACATTTTATAATAATATGCGCATGATTCCGAAATGTGCGCATTAATATGCATGATTAAGGAATTATGCGCATATATGAAACTTGTCTCTAAGTAAAACTTCCCTAATGTAAATTATCCCTAAATGCATAATATAGCTTGGCCCAATCTATAAAAGCATTATATGTTTTTGCTCTCTATAAATGCACTTTCTCTTTAATTCTAGTCCAAGAAGTGTGCATTTAGAGGTTTTACTTTAATAAAACTATTCTTAAAAAAAAAAAATGGAAATTGTAATATATTTGTTGCTCCTATTATAGCACTTGTGTTTTTTTACTCAATGCTTCATTATTGCTTTTGTATTTTTTAATAATCTTATTATAGAATAAATTACGATTTTTAGTACTACTTGCTGCAAATATAACTGGTTCATATAAACTTCGGCCTCTTGTTATTGAATATTTGAAAAAACTGAGAAGTTTTAATAATATAAGATTATCACAGTATATGAAAATAATCAACAAGTATGGATGAGATCAGATATTTAGAAGAGATAGTTGCATTATATTAATAATGGCTTTTGTATTCAAGATAGAAAAATTTTACTTCTTGTAGATAATGTATTATCTCACAGTTCGTTCAAATCGTCTAATGATACAAAAAAAAAAAAATTGATATAGATGATGATGATGGTTGTCAATTAGATTTTGAAAATGAAGAAGATCTAGTAAATAATTACTCTGATTCACAAATTAATGATAGAAATGATGAACAGCAAAGTAAGTTAAAACAATAAAAAAAAAAGAAAAAAAAGCATTTATAAATTAAAAAACTGTCATATTATGATTGAAGAGCACTAAAGACCATGTAGAAGTGAAAGCAAAAGATCTTGTAGAAGACCTCGTGGAAGTGGAAGACTCTGTGGAAGTGAAAGTGGAAGACTCTGTGGAAGTGGAAGCAGAAAACCTCATGGAAGCGGAAGCAAAAGACCTTGGGAAAATGGAAGCAAAAGACTCTGTGAAAGATCATAAATTTCTCGTGCTAAGTCTTCATGTCAACAAAATAAAAAAATGTCTTCTAAGACATTAAAACTCTTATATATTACTTTGCATTACCTTTCAACAAAAACAACAGTGCATATTCAGCCTATAGATGCTAGTATAATTAAATCATTTAAATCAAAATACAAGCGTCTATACTGCGAATATGTTCTCTGGCAATTCGAATCTGGCATTGATATAAAAGAGTTTGTATAAATCTTATTGTGAGATTGGTTGAAGCAAATTTGCATCCCTTTTGAAATATAAATTTCTTAAAACTTACTTATACCTTTTTATGACAAATATCAGCTTAAATCCTAACCTAACCTTAACAATAAACCAAAAAATATAAGCGCCATCAAAGGAAAACTTGCTATTATGAAGTCTTATAACAGGTTTGCCTTTGATGGCACTCCTATTAAAGATTTGAGTTCAACCATCCCTAATTTGTTATTATTTTACTAACACAGCACCAATGTGATCAATATGGTCATATCAGAATTGACTGCCCTCTCGCTATTTATAAGTTGGATAACCAAAGATACAGATGTGATGTTCCTCTGATGAAGTGAATAACCAATAGCAAACCTACTACTCACGAAGAAGAACCCACCATTGTTGTTAATGTAAAGTACCTCAAAGACCTGAAGAACTTAAATTGCTTGACCAGAACCTAGTCTGTAAAGCATGCTAGACCGACTTTCACCATGAATTAGACCGAGATGACCCACGAAGCATTGAATATTTCACCAATGGTGATGGTTAAGGAATGTTGACCAAATGTCAAGTTTGTAGTGAAGAATTTGTTAGATCCCGAATGTATAAACTAGACACAGTCGAGGAAGATACCTGGTTTTGTGATTTGAAGCATTTGTATACTTACAAAGCTGCCAAAGATGTTGAATGGAACCCTAACTACAACTTGTGGACCTGAGTTAAACACTATACCAAGTCTACCAGAAATGTTAAACATGCTTATAACCTCAACCAAAGTCAAATTTATTGCCTAGCCCAGATCCAACTAGATGCAAGCAATGAACAGATTGCTAGTATACTTGAACCTCTAGCAACTGACCGTTCTAATCAAGACTATACTGATGATGAAATCAATCTCATCATGAGAGCCCTCATGTTCAACTAACCTCAACAAAAAAAGATGAGTTACAAAGGATTCTTGCTGAATCTTTTGATATAAGCCATTCAGATTTTGATCAGCACCGAGCAATGCAAAATCTACAAAGAAACTTTCAAGGAACTGTAGAACTCTGTAAAAACTGTCTTATGGTCAAAGCTAAGACTAAACTTGCGCAATATGATCAGTGTTGTCAAGAATGTCATGATGAACTTCATCCTCCTCCTGTACAAGAACTGGAACCAGAAGGACCAACTTCAAAACCAACTCCACCTATTGCTAACGATGATACACAGAAGATAATTCACTTGTTGCAACAACAAGTGGAACAACAGGAACAAATAATTAATGTTTTTTAAGAAAAGATTCAGACCTTGGAACAACAATCTTAACTCGTTACTATTCTTCAAAATAGAATTGACCATCTAGAAGCCTTTCATCATAAATTGCAAAGATTATATTCAGAGTTTTCTCTCTCTGAAAATGGACCTTTAAATTTTTAAATAATCCTAAACAAGATGAAAAACTACTTAGTGATACAGACGAATTACCAACAGAAACAGACACCCTCAACCTAGTTATACAACAAAATTTATTAAAACAAGAAGTATATACGATAACTCAAGAAATAACCCAAAGATAGGATCTTTAACCCCAAGTCAAGGAGCCCAATTTCGCCAATTACTTTTTGAATTTGCTAACCTCTTTGCAAAAGATATTACTCAACTCGGAAGAACCAATCTAGTCACACATCGAATATATACAGAAGATGTACCTTCTATTAGCTCTTGACCCTACATGGTACCTCTAGCCGAACAAAAATTTATTAACAAAGAAGTGCAACGAATGTTAGATAATAAATTAATACAGAAATTCTCAAGCCCCTGGGCCTTCCCTGTCGTACTCATAGGCAAGAAAAATGGCAAGAAGAGATTTTGTGTTGACTATAGAAAATTAAATGCTATTACCAAGAAGGATCAATACCCCTTACTCCAAATAGATGAAATGTTAGACTCATTAGTTGGAGCCACATACTTTTCCACTTTAGACCTTATGAGTGGATATTGGCAAGTTATGGTACACCCTGCAGATAGAGAAAAGACTACTTTTATTACAAGATATAGCACTTACAAATTTAATGTGATGCCATTTGGATTGTGCAATACACCGCAACTTTCCAATATCTTATGAATCAAGTCTATAAGGATATTGCTTACAAATACGTAGTAGTTTATCTTGATGATACTAATGTATTTTCCCGAACATTTGATGATCATATCAAGCACCTACATGAAGTATTTACAAGAATTAGAAAAGCTGGACTCAAGCTTAACATCGAAAAGTGTAACTTTTGGATGAAAAGACTACC